CGAGTGCAAATTTTCAAGTCAATCGGCCGTCTGGAAGTTGGTGAAAAGTACATTAAAAGAAACCGTTACATAAATAGACAGATAGATACATTCGAAACTAATAAAAGCGTGTTAACAACTACACACCATGTTACTGCTCTTTATTAGAGATTGTTGAATAATATAGTTTAATGACTTAAATACAATATTAAAATACTATTAGAAAAAAAATAAAAACTGAAGTTATACAGTTCTACTCCCCGTACCCCAAGAACGCTGGCTGCGTTTCCTCGCTTAATGGCTATACTTAGCCTTTGAGCGAGAAAAGAACCTCAGAACACTAAAACTTGGTTTAAGTTTTAGTGTTCTGAGGTTCTTTATTATAGTTTTTGCAACTCACGATTGCGGTCGACTTTTGGATGTGGTTCGACATGTACATGGACAGTGTACGTGAGTTCTATACAAATTTCATGATAATAGCTCCCACTTTTAATTTCCATCTTTACCAACTTATTTCCTAACTATAATGGTTCGTTTTCTGTTCAGATGTCTGTCGGGATTGGTATCACCTACTTACATTGTGTTGCGATTTAAAGTACAAAATAACTGTGTTACGGTTAAAACTAATAGAGAGCCAGTAAAATTACAAACTGTGACACATTTCATCTTAGACGGCAGGGATAACAATTCTTTGTTTAGTTGGTTGCAGATTTCCATGGACTGCACTTACTTTCCATAAGGTGGACTGTTAGTTTGTTAGTCACGTTAAGTTTACAAACAAATAGGTTTACAAATTTTTTACCTCCTCAAATTTAATTAAAATTAGTAATAGGAATTAGCACTTTTATTTATTTTCTAATTCCCATAAATAAATATTTTATATATAGACGTGTGACTAACCGATTTCCGTGTAACTAATGACCGAATTCCATTACACTCTCTTCCCATGGATTTCATAGGAAAACTGAGGAAGAGTCCGAGAATACAACCTTTCCTAGGTAGGTGTATCCAGTTTGAAGGGGATAGAAAGCCAGTATTCTCACAAGCTGTGAGGCATTCCATCTTAGTCCTTAGATGTGACAACGCAACTGTAGCTTTGTTATTAGTTTTATAAAAAACATATATATTATCTGATAGACGACTTTCTATCAGACCAAAATATTCTGGTCTTTGGATGGTAGCATCAACTTTGTCCATAATATTATAAGCTGTCACGCGTGTTTTAATACAAATTTATTTAATTTATTAATTGGATTCACCAAAAAAATTACACATACTAAATTCTAAGCCAGGAATGCGAACAGTTGTCATTAATAGTACTCTTCTTCCGGGTCGAAAGTACAAATAGGCGTGCCTTAGGGCTCAATTCTTGGCACCTTTTTTTTCTTTTATATATTAATGACTTACCTTTCATAGTAAGGGATAACCATGATATAGTATTATTTGCTGATGACACTTGATTCATTTTCAAATTAAAACGATAGTTACTAAATTATGACGAAGTAAATAATGCTATATCTAAATTAGTAAATTGGTTTATTATTAATTAAAATACAAACTAAGTGCATATTTAGTAAAGTAAAGTAAAGTTACAGCCTATATACGTCCCACTGCTAGGCACAGGCCTCCCCTCATTTCTGAGAGGGTTTTCATATTTAATAATAGACAAACACCACATTTAGTGCTCACAGCATCTCTTTTTGGTGACGAAAAAAACTAAACAAAACTAACTCTTGACACTTTGCCCCGGAAATAGGACTGTATGATGATTTTTAGTTTTTAGTTTTGATTTTATTTATATAGGCTGTTTTAGTATTGTATATATATTATTATTGACGTGCTAGAACGATATGCTTTTAAAAATAAACGGTTTTCGACATAGCTGTTTGCAAAAACGTCATAAATGTGTTAAGATATTCAATTTGTTTGAGGAAAACTGTCAAAAATTTGCAAGTAAGTGTGATAATTCAAGTTAGATAACCCAGATTTACAAAGTTTGGAGAGGCGATTTCTGCGAGCAAATATCATATTTTTTTAGACAATTCGTTTTGATAAACGAAAAAATCTAACCAATGTGCTGTGGTCATTAGGTAATCCGGGTTCCTTAACTTTAAAATAGCTTATTTCTGCCATTAAATATATATTTTATATACATAAAAGTGACTTTCAATAAGTATTATTTATCTATATTGAATATAATGTTACTGTTTCCGTTTGTATTAATTAACGACAGTCTATTTTTATTAACCACAACTCAGAAAAAGAATACATACAATACACACATAAACACTCACGCCTGTCACCCAGAGGGGTAGGCAGAGACTACGGACTTCCATTTGGCACGATCCTGACATACCTCTTTTGCTTCCTTTACATCCATATATCTACGCATACATGCTCGTCGGTTAAGGGTACTTCTAACGTGGCCCCTTTTCAAAATGTCGCCAATTTGGTCGATAAACTTTTTTCTAGGGCGTCCCTTCCCGACTCGGCCGTTCACATCTGCCATATAAATTTGCTTTGTCACTCTTTCCTCATTCATTCTTTCTACATGACCAAACCACCGAAGCATTCCTTTCTTAATCCTGGTCACAACATCATCTTGCATACCACATTTATCTATTATCACGCAATTTCTCACCCTGTCATTCAGATTCAACCCTAGTATACTCCTTAAAGACCGCATTTCTACAGCATTTATTCTACTTTCGTGCTTCTTCTGCCACACCCAGCTTTCACTACCATACATTAAAGTGGGGACTAACACAGCATTATGAATTACCATACGTGCCTTTTTTGACACATTCTGGTTCATCATAATAGAGTGTAGTGCCCCATTCACTCTATTTCCTGCATTTACTCGTCGTTCTATATCCCTATCATATCTACCATCCCTGCTAAATACACATCCCAAATACACAAACTCATCCACTTGCTCAATTAACTCTCCTTCTATCCTTATTTCACATACCGTTTTGCTTTCATCTCTTTCAAAAACCATCACTTTCGTCTTACTTGCGTTCACTTTCATTCCCCTTTCTTTTAATTCCCAGTTCATTAATGTAACCATCATTTGCAACTCAGCCGCCGATGACGCAAATATGACTTGATCATCGGCATACAAAAGGCATTTGACGGTTAACTCGCCCATTCTTAACCCACATTCTTCATCTTTCAAAGTTTGCAAACACCTGTCCATAAATAGGTTGCACAGCCAAGGGGAAGCTACACAGCCCTGTCTGGCACCTTTTTGGATGCCAAACCAGTCCGAGTAGACCCCATTGATCCTGACACAAGCACTAGAGTCCCTATAAAGAGACCTTAATGCCTGTATCAAAACAGCGCTCAACCCATATGAGTTCAGTGTTTGCCATAACACATTCCTGTCCACTCTGTCATAAGCCTTTTCCAAGTCAATGAACGCACAAAAAACTTTTTGGTTTTTGGCCAAAAACTTCTCCGCAATCATGCGCATGGAAAAGACTTGATCTGTACACCCCATTCCCTTTCTAAAATCCGCAAGAGGCTAGAAAAAGAATAATGTGTAAGAATATCCACTACCCCATACCGTTCCTTTGGCGTCGTAAGAGACGACAGGGGGAAATTGAAACAGGTGATGGGCGGCAGCATCTTCCGGATAACAGCTCGAAATAGTAAAAAACTGCGGTTAACAACCCCCTCGCCAACCGTGTCAACTATGGCAAAATCCTTCCGATGAGGCAGTCTATTTGGGAGGCATTTGTCCAGCAGTGGAGTTTTATAGGCTGTAATGAACTGATGGGTGGAACAGGAAGACGTCCCATATGTTGTTTCGGTTTCCCTCTGTCGTCCCTTACGAAACCCACAGGATGATATGTGTAGTAGACATCCTAACGGCGCCATTTCACAACAAAATATAAATTTTGAGCAGCTATAATAAACGTCTTATTTTTAATTTCGGTGTGCACATACATCACAAAAAAGAAACAAACACCTTTCTTTGTGACATTAAAATCGTTAGAAAATGAATGAAGAAAAGGAAAAAGGAAAGCTTTATTTGTTACTTATACCACAGAACAAATAATATTTCAAGAACTACTACACAAAGAACAGTTGTAAGAGGCGAAACATTAGACAAATAAAATTTTCATTCTACAGGCTACGGTTAGAAAACATACATTAAAGTATAACTAAATTAAAAGTTAAAGCTATAACGGACATATGTAAAAAAGTAAAGTTACAGTTCATATTATACTTCTTTCATTACGTAAGGTTTTAAGGCTAGGAAATATCTGCCGTGCGAATGCGTGTTCAACCAACTTTACATGTCTGGAAAAAATAAGGTGTAACATTTGAACGAAGTAGAAGCCTATTGCACTCATAATTTAAAAAAAAATTGAATTAAATAAATGAATTGTTTAAAATCTATCGAAATTCAAATCCTATCCACCTTCCTTTACGAAAGCCAGTAAAACAATTTTAGTAGGCACATTTGACCTCGTCACTTCGGAGGGTCACAACAAAAAAATTTCAAACGTGTAATTCAAATTTTTTGTTTTTATTTTTTGTAAAATGTCAGTACCATAGACTTTTACTCCGTTTACATGTTACACCCTATTTTTTCCAGACGGTAAAAAAGTCATCCAGTATTTTCTTATTTCTCAGACATTCAGATTACCTCGCGATATTTTCGTTTACGAGGACGTGGTAAATTAGCACTTAAAATCTCAACGCCAGCATATAATTATTGAGTAAAGTAATTATCATAGCATACGTTGTAGTAAAACAGCATAAGAGTCTACGCTCTATAAAAGTTGCCACCACCAACAACTACGAATAGGGTAAGTCCGGGGGAGTTGGCCATAGTTTTTAAAGAAGTCACTAAAATAAAAACTACAAGGATTAATTAACAAAAATCAACTTACTGCTGCTGAAGCAGTAGCAAATAATTTTTTAGGCCTTCTTGTAATCATCTCAGGACTTACGTTTAAAACTATTCGCTCAACAGAGCTATTTGGCTCAGCGATTGCAGGTGATATGTCTTATCGCACTTCGAAAGTATTTGGAACTGATTCCAGATTAGCAGAAGCTATGTTACTAGTATTTTCTTCTTGCTCCTCGACCATAACAGTGGCTGTACACTCATTTTGAGATTTAGACATTTGCTTTGTCAATTCTTGGGTAAACGCGTAGTCGGGAATTGCGGTTGGATTGAAGGGGTGAACACCTGTAGCTTTAAAACCCGCAATTGCATTATCTGCAGAAGCTGCCTTTCCCCACGCCTTATTAAGCAATCTTTCAAATGATAATCGTGTTATACGACGACCAGGATTTTGTTTTAGCCAAAGTCGACACTGCTCGTAAAAATGAGTCTTCAGTGATTTAAACACCGTACGATCTAGTGGTTGGAGGTAGTGAGACGTGTGGCTTGGCATTGAAAGTAAGGTGATGTCATTGCAGACTCACCCTTTGGTGCATATTCCAGCATTTCCACAGAATTACAGTGAGTTGAATGACCATCTAGTAAAAGAAGTACTATTCCAGCTGGTTTCCTCGGAACAAAATGTGTTTTCAACCATTCAATAAATAAATCTGAGGTAATGTACGCTGATTTTGGGGACATGAAAAGTTTCGATCCCGGTGGCATCCCATCCTCAAACTCAGGTTTTTTTTTTATAGGATAGGGTGAAGACGTCTGATGGTAAGTGGTTGGGATTCGTAGGAGTTCCAGTAAAGGGTCTCTTTCTTACGAAACACAGCAGTTTTAATGGCTCTACACGTATAAAGTTTTTTGTTTTTGCCTTTCATGATACAGGCAGGTGGTAAAAATTTACCTTCAGCATTGCAGCAGGCTATAACTGTAATCGTTTCTCCCTTTTCAGTCGAAGTAACTGTAGATACAGCCTTAGAACCCTTTTCAGCTAGAACATGCCCTGGTCGATTATTAAGCTGAAGACCAGTCTCGTCCATGTTGAAGATACAACTCGGTTTCAATACACCATCGTCTACTGTCAATATGCTTTCAAGAAGCTCAAAGTAAGCGTCAACCTCCAGTTTATTCATAGCAGTTGATCTAGCTAAAGATACTCCTTCTGACTTTCTTAATGTAATATCGTGGTTTCTTCGTAAAAAACCTTGCAACCAGTCATATCCTGCTTTCTCAGTTTCTCTATTAAATCTGTGATTCAAATTCAATTGCTCCGCGAACTGGTACGCAATCTTTCTGACGTCATCGATAGTCCTGTCACTCGAGAACCATTGTTCCCCATCAGTTGTCGGTTAAATTAAGACATTACAGCCGGTTAGATGGCTGGGTGGATTTTTTGATATTACTGCTTCTGATTATCATAATAAAATTATTTGAAAACGATAACATTTATTTTTAGTATAAAGATCAAACGATATTGCGAAATCAAATCTGTTATAGACATTATTCATCATGATTTCGATCACTTGGCGTGACAAACGCTTTCAGTGATAATTTTGACATAAATACTTAGAGGGATCGGATTTCCAGATCATATATTTATAAATAGAATTAGGATTAAAAAAATCATTAGTCGCTATTTTTTTGCGATCTGTCCATTTTATCTGTAATATTTTTTTTAATATTTCGTCCTTTAGTGGTTTTTTGTTGTCAGCTAGATTGTTTGAGTTACATAATATTTATTTTTGATTATCCCTTCCTGTGCCTCCATAAAAAAATGCTAGGAAAACGCTGAAGTAAGATAAGATTTTTTTATTACATTATATGGGTAATATGGAGGATATTTGCTATATTAGTTGCCACGCTTGGCGTGCGGGTTAGCAATCCCAGTTTTTTATTAAGGTGTTATCCGTATGTACGTAATTACGTGTTATCAGTACTATAATGCTGTTGGCACTATGGCAAAGTAATGTTGCCTGAAATAAAATATTATTTTGATTATCTACTCTAAACTTTAGTCTTAACATATATAAAAAAAGAGGATTGTTACATTAATTTGCTATAAAATTAAAAAAAAATAATGTAATATTTCATGCCACCCTCGTGGTTGAAAATTACCGTTATCTTATTAAATAAATCATTTGCCGTGAAATGTTTTATTTTTAATTTTATATTACATTTCACTTGAAGGTTTCACTTCTACTGCGAGCAAATTGCAAACATGTTTTTTTTTTTAAATTGGAGTGTCAAACAGTAAGCGTTAAGTTAAATACCAGCGTAAAATAGCAGCTTAATGCTGCTGTATTTCGCATGATGAGTGTAGTGAAAGGGAGACCTATTTACTGAAAATTAAGCATTCCATATTAGTCCTCAAGGGTGAAAACTCATCTGGATTTTGATTCTTAATCGAGCATAAATATAGATGTTTATGGGCCACTGCATCCACTTACCATCAGGTGAACTGTGTGCTCGTTTATTACCCTTATTTTATAAAAAAGTGGAAACTACAGACCATGGACTTGGACTTGTACGTGGTAGAGCAGGGAGTGTATGTTGTAGGAGGGGACGTGAAATAGTAGCTTATGCTGTGTATTTGTTGGTAGTGTAGAGAACCGGAGACCCTTTTTACTGAAAATGAGGCATTCCATCTTAGTCTCGGGTGAAAGCATCTGCATTTTGATTTGTAATGGAGAAGGTCTAGGCGCGAACCACTTACCATCAGGTGGACTGTGTGTGTTTGTGCCTATTAAATGGACACATGCATCTTACTTCGAACAAATAGGACTGCAAACACTTGGCTCTGTAGCCTTCAGACCGGAACGCAAATAATGACGGCAAATAATGGTAAATAAAAATCCTTGACTCATTTCCACAAAATCATCTAACAATATCTGTCACCATAAAGCCAGATTCAACAGATAATAAATTAATTCGGAACATGCGGCTTTAACGGTTAACTGAGATACTTACACCATAAAATGAATTCGCAAACAAAAAAAAAATTATGTGTCACAGCAATCATACTATTAACCGACTTACAAACAAGAGGGATGTTTAATTTCGTAGGATTTTTGTTTTGTGTTCAGTGATAATTCCCTTTATTACTTCGAAGTCCCAGTTTTACTTTTTTATTAAAGTTTAATTATTAGATATTACTCGGTGTAATATATGGACCATAGGTAATATTTTATATAGGATATTAAACAAAAAGAAATAGCCGTTTAAGTTCAAGGCTGGGCGTTCGACACGTATTTTATAATGCGCAAGTAACTCGAGTTGCTATACTACGGGAATCACGGAAATTATATTGGTTGTTTTAAGAGACTACATACTTTCGTTTGGCACGATCCTGACACACCTCTCTCGCCTCCTCCACATCCTACACATACATGCTCGTCGGTTAAGGGTGCTCCTAATTTGGCCCGTTTTTAATTTATCGCCAATTTGGTCGATAAGCTTTCACCTAGGACGTCCCTTTCCGACTCTGCCGTTCACTTCTGCAACATAAATTTGCTTTGTCACTCTTTCCTCATTCATTCTTTCTACATGACCAAACCACCGAAGCATTCCTTTCTTAATCCTGGTCACAACATCATCTTGCAAACCACACTCTTCTCCTATCATACAATTTCTCACCGTGTCATTCAAATTCAGCCCTAACATACTCCTTAACGACCGCATTTCTACTGCGTTTATTCTACTCTCGTGCTTCTTCTGCCACACCCAACTTTCACTACCATACGTTAAAGTAGGGACTAACAGAGCATTGTGAATTACCATACGTGCCTTTTTTGATACATTCTGACTTTTCAAAATAGAATGTAGGGCCCCATTTACTCTATTTCCTGCGTTCACTCGTCATTTTATATCCTTATCATATCTCCCATCCTTGCTAAATACGCATCCCAAATATATAAACTCATCTACTTGCTCAATCAACTCCCTTGCTATTCTTATTTCACTTATCGTTTTATTTTCTTTTCTTTCAAAAACTATAACTTTCGTCTTACTTGCGTTGACTTTCATACCAAGGGGGGTTCATACATAGGGAGGTCTTTTAATGATCTGTTCATTAATGTTACCATCATTTGCAACTCGGCCACCGACAACGCAAAAATAATTTGATCATCGGCGTACAAAAGGCACTTGACGGTTAACTCACCCATTCTTAATCCGCATTCTTCTACTTTTAAATTTTCCAAACAGCTGTCTATAAATAAGTTGAACGGCCACGGGGAAGCCACATAGCCCTGTCTGACACCTAAATGGAAGTTAAACCAGTCCGAGTAGACCCCGTTGATCCACAAGCACTAGAGTCCCTATAAAGAGACTATTCTAAGTTGTTATCAGGATATACAGGACCATCATATCATATCAGGACAAAAGGACTTTACGTTACCCACGGAATGACATAAAGTAGTAGGTTCTCTTAAGCCGCCTTTGATCTTGACTATTTTAAAGACAAAAAGGTAAAGTCAAAACCATATAAAATAAATAAAACTATACATTTTTACGGATTTTATGGCGTTTAATTTAAACTTTTTAACTCCCGACATTTGGATCACTTTACAGCACACACGGTCCCGGGTTAAGTTATTATAATAAACTCCATTAAAAAAATTAAATTTAAACGTGATAAAATCAGGAAAATTAGTTTTATTACATGCGTAATAGTCCCGTGAATATAAGAAATCACAATATAAAATAAGTCACCTTTATTCTGACATATACCTACAAAGTAAAAGCCGATTTAAGGTTGATGACAGTATCTTCTCACGAACAAAAACATATCGATTTCAGATGAACAATCAGGATTAAAGGTTTTAGATATAAAAGTATTTTATAAATAATAACACACTTTACTCTGATGCTGCTTCAATACTTAATCCTTTTTGGCATGACAGTTTTATCTTAACTAGCTTTTTGGTTCGTTTTTCCTGTTATTTTGCTTTGTGTTACGTAAAAAACGCAAATTGTAATGTAATGTGCATTCATTAATATGTTGATTTCTTATATTTACGCGAACACTACACATTGAAATAATACTAGTTTTTACGGAATTTATCGCGTATATTTAACTTTTAATACCCGACGTTTCGAACGCTTTACAGCACTCATGGTCACGGGCAGGACTGAGATGTTCAACGTCCATATGTCATAGTTAACCGCGGTTACCATAGATTAAAATTTAACTTTTGTTCCGATCTATGCAGTATGAACTTATGGTATCTTGAAGTCTTGCAGTTGTATGCTTGGGTTGGGATTTAATTTTATTTATTATAGGATCCCAAGCAGATGGTAGCACCCAGCCACCTTCTCTATTGAAATTAGGATGTTTTTTGATTTCAATAGCCTCGCGAATCATCCTTGGAAGGAATCGGTGTTCTTTAGCGAGGATCTGCGGTCTATCAAATCTGATGTAGTGACGGGGGCGATCCTGTACGTGTTCACAGACTGCAGACTTCCCGGAGCGTCGATTCTTCACATCAGCTATATGTTCTTTAACGCGGGTTTTTATTGATCTTTTAGTTTGTCCTATGTAGGAGAGACCACATTCACAATCAAGCTTGTACACTCCTGCATCTTGCAGAGGGACATTACACTTGACCGATGGTAAAAACTGACCAATCTTCTTCAGCGGCTTGAAGTATGTTTTGATGGAAGCGCGCTTCAAGATGTAGCCAATCTTGTCAGTGACTCCTCTAATATATGGCAGTACAGCAGGTACACGCTCGACTGTGGCCGGCTTCACTCGTTCACTGTGACGTAGGCGCGGGACTCGAAGCTTGTTGTCATGCAAAACTTGCTTGACATGGTGGAGCTCTGCACCATGTTAAGATTAACTTTTTTTAAGCTCTGACTTAACTGTTTCAATAGTTGTAATATTATTATTATATGTATTCAAAATAGTTGCTTGATATCGATCTTGAAGTCTTGATTTAGTTTTAGAGCAATTCCGCGAATGCCAATATTTGCCAATTGTTTCAGTAAATTTTTATGATTAACACAATCAAATGCTTTAGTCATATTTAAGAAAAGAGCAAAATATGGATTTTAGTTCGGCGTGTTGTTTTTACATTAGTATTTTAAAAGAGCCTACATTTTGCTAAGTAAAAGGACTTCCTTTTTTCTAGGA